GCAGGCAATCATCAAAGAATGATACTATCTTTAGGCCCGAAAGCACGCGTTGCACTCTTTTTTCCTTGAATCGGTTTTGTCCCAAATGTGTTTTCCGACAAGGTTTTTAATGAGGCAATAGTAAATCATGCTAACTTAGAATTGAAGACTGGTTAAGAACCGATATCGAAAGTCACGATAACAGTATTCGAGGCCTCTCTATGCTCGGCCCCGAACACTGGGGGGCATCACCCTCGGATAACGACTTTAACAAGGAAGGAAACTTTATGGTTGAATGGCCTCGGCTCGGTCGATAGGATTTACTGTAAGGGCCAAACGGTCAAATGAACCGTGTCCGCATAAACTGCTCGAGCCCTGGCACAAAACTTGTACACATATGTAACTATTACGCACAAGAATAAAAAGAAGTTTCTACCTTGCGGATAAATATCTTGTCCATTAAGAATTTCTCTTTTTTCTTTTTTCTCTTAGGGAATTTCCTACATCCGATCCCTTAAAGGTATCGAGTCCAAGGGCTGCCTTTACCTGGGTTCAAATAATCACTCCCAATCGGGGACTGCCGCCCAAAAACAAACTCGGATGGCTCGGGCTGAGAAAGCCCGAGGGCACAAGACCTATTAGGCAACGCCCGAACCTTAAAGGCTATGGCCATCCCTATTCGAAAACTGTTATCTTAGGCAAGCTCGGATAACTCGGGGTAACAAGCCCACTAGGCAACACCCGAACTAAAGGATACAACCATATTAAAATGGTTCGGAGACGTTCGAGACCCATAACAAAAAACAAGACCTTCAAAATTTCATAACCGATACTAAAGGCTACCTTTGACAAACTATAATCTAAAAAATCATAAGTACTTTGGGGAACTTTTTTTTGGTCATACCGAACCGCCACGATGCCTTAAACAAAATAATGTCTAAGGCAAGGACTGTTCGAGCCTCCGAACATGATTTAACTATTTTATGCTAAGACATTTCGATCCTTGCAAATATAAAGAATAAAGCAAAGCAAAACAGAATTCGTAAAATATCGAAGGGGAAAACCGAGCCTTATATTATATATAGTCTTTACAAAGGCCAAGTAGCCTTGACAAAAAATAATATATATATATATACAAAAGTACACAAAGTACTAAAAACAAAAAAGCAAAAAAATTTACAAAGGCATCTAAAAAGCCTGGTCTTCTTTGCCCTAGGTTCCATCGGAACCCTCAGAGTCTTCTTCTTCTTTGGGGCAGGCCAACTTCTTGGCCTTGGCCTTGAGCCCCTTAGCGGTCTCGATCTCAACCGATAGATCGAACCACCGAGCATGAATCTCCTTGAGGGCCTCTCTTCGTGACTGCCACTTCTCGTATTCAACGATATATTTCAAGCGGTCCTGGGCCGCCTTGGCATATTGGGCCACCATCTCGTCGGCGTTGGCTTTAACTACCGCCACCACTGACTTGGCCATTTTAAGTTCCTTGGCCATAATTTTTCGATCGGAGGCAGCCGAACTTAGCCGAGACTGGAGCTCTTCAACCTTTTTGGCCTGCACCTTGGCCTTTTCCTTTGCTGCTCGAAGATGGACCTCACCTTTTCCTTTTTGGCCTGCACCCCGAGCAGCCTCTTTTTCCGATGCCAGACGATCTATCCTGCCCCTCCATTTGTCGGTCTCGGCCTTGACAATGTCCATCTCAACTCGAAGTTGGGCAACCTGGTCGATTTTCTGTTAGACCTGCGGATTCCGATCATTAGTTACCAAGCCTAGCTCGTCATCACTAACCTCAAATATCTTTACCTACTCGGCCAGATCGGCATGCTCCTTCCGAGCCACCTCGAGCTCAGCTCGGAGGCTCTTCGCCTCCCCTTCACACTGCTCACTGAGAAGCTTGTAGGAATCCCTCCTCTCAGTGAGCCCTCGGACCTCGGCCTCAAATAGTTTCAGCTCATCCCGATATCGGAGAAAAGTCTCGTGGTGAAGCACCGAGGCCTACAAACACCAAGAGGAAATGTTAGAGTTATCTGTAAAATAGCCCAAGTACAAATTGAGAACCATTGAGGAATATCTAAATTTACCCGGTTTAATGCTTGTTGCGCTTCGTTGAACAGACAAGGTGCATCCACCTCATTTATCTTGGCCCGATCATCCTTGTTCACCAGACATCGAAGATAGCTAGCCACCCCTACGGGGGCGGAGAGGACCTGGGAGTCTTCTAGAAGGGAGAAAGAGATGAATCGCTTTTGGCCAGTATCCACACTCGGGGCAAGGAATCGATTGGCCAGTTTGGGACTCGAGAAAGGTCTGCTTGCTCCCGAAGATGGGCTCTTCCTCAGTATCTCTAAATTACCCAACCCGGTGACACACTCCGTGGCCGTAGAGTCCACTCTATCAAAGAAGCAACGGAAGGGATCGTCCGCTTCGAGGGCTCCCTAATTTGGACGTTCTTTCACAGTATGAGCCTCATTGTACATGGACTCAGTGAACAAAGGTGACTCGGTGATCTCTATCACACCGAGAGCTTCCTTCGGCACACTTCCCACGTCCCGAGAAGCTTCATTCTCGGCCTCCTCCCTAGCTCGATGAAGATCAGCATCGTCTCCCTCTGGTTCGGAGGCCCCTTGCCCTTCGAGTCGTGTCAACACTCGGACCACCAGATTGAAGGTTTCTTCCTCTTGTTCTTATTCGGGTTCATCCCTCTGTTGATAGAGAGAACCCAAAGGTGGTGCTCGAGCACTGGTGCTTTCTTTGGACTTACGCACCCACCTTCTCTTTGGCTTTTTCTTCTCTGAGCTCGGAGAACTCGGGGCCCTTTTCTTCTCTTCACCCTGTCTTGGAGTAGGGGACTCGGTGGGGACATCATCGTTACCATATGGGGGCCTCATTTGGACATCCTTGGATAAACCTGCAAAAGGGAATAAAGCAAGTGAGAATTTTGCATAAGGAAAACCAAATATGTCATGAAGAAGATCTCACCATGTGAACGGGCCTCCCATAGGCCCTTTGAAAGCTCGCGCCATGATCGCTCGGGAATAGGGCCTTTGTGATACGATGCCATCGACCCACTCCTTGAGTCGAGGAACTGCATTCGGGACCCGAGCAATAACTGCACCACCACAGAACACTGGTAAGAAAGAAGGCAAAAAAGCGATAAATTAAAATTTTGGAAGCTAAATTATACTTACGTGACATGTTCCACTTTTCGGGGAACGACATGTGCTCGGCCGGGATCAAGTCTGAGGTCCTCACTCAGATGAAACGGCCTAGCCAACCTCGATCCTTGTCCTCATCGATACTCGAGAACGGGGCCTTACTGGCCCGACATGCAAGCTTAATTTATCNGGTAGAGTCGGGGACTGTACAAACGCTTGAGGTGGTCGATGGTGAAAAGGCACCCTTTGATCTTGCTTATAAAGAAGCGGAGGAGGATTACGATCCTATAGAAAGAAGGGTGGATTTGACCGAGGGTTATCTCATATCTTTTGCAAAAGTCGATTATAACCGGGTCCAAAGAGCCCAACGTGAAGGGATAAGTATAAACACTTAAAAATCTCTCGACGTGGGTGGTGATGGCTTCGTCAGGTTCGGAAACCACCACATATTTGTCAATCCAGTAACAATCCTTCTTGACTTTAGAGAGAATATACTCGGTGATCGAGCAGATGTACCTCGAAACCTTCTCATACCGGCTTGGTACGGAGGAGGGCTTTTTGACTTTAAAATCAGCATTGACCGGGCACCCCCCCTCCGGGATGAACATTTTTAGAGGAGGTTCCGGTGCTGGTTCCTCGGCAGCAGTGCGTGAAGCGGTCTCTTCGGTAGCCGGCCGCGAGGTAGAAGGAGTTTCTTTTTGGGGAATGATTTTGGAAGTTTTCGCCATTTCTTTATAGAAAAGAAATAAGGAAAAAGAAAGAGTACACTTAGTGGTTTGAGAAAAAGATGAATGGGAGTTCTTATCAAAGATTTCAAAGTAACTAGAATATAAGTGCTTGGAAGTACTGAAATTTCTTAGGTACGAGGGCAGAAGGTTTGAATGTAAAGTTTGAATGAACAAGTGAGGGGGTATTTATAGTTTTCCAGCAACGGTTCACATCTAGGAGTGGCCGACCAGCAACTGACGAGCATTTAATGCTATTAAAACTTGACTGATGAGACGTTTCGACTATTTTGTCGTTTCTACCGTGTGGTGCCGAAGAAAGAATCAAAAGGTCACTTCATTTCTCGTCGTCTATTCTCCGAAAAATGAGGGGATTATTTGTATACGGTCGAAATCGAGCTCGCATACGACATAGCAGGTTAGGCTCCAAACATGACAACCAAAGACTGAAGATCGACCTCGAGTCCTACCGAACTAGAACTCGAGACCAGAACGCCTGTCTTCGAGAATATTAAGTCAGTAATCTCGGAGTCGACCTTAGCCCCGATCGAGCTCGAAGAAACATTGTTAGTATAACCAACAAAAGACCGAAATATCCGTGACCGGTCGGATATTACAGCGGGAATCTCGGCACGAATCAATAAGGAGCCAGCAATCAGCGAATCAAGAGATCTTTTACCTTTTATAGAATTGTACCTAAAGTATGACTCCTCTATTATATAAAAGAGGGTCTGATTATTCATTGGAGACATTGTAACACGCACTCCTAAGCAATGCATTATTATTCTCTTTAAATTCTTACTACTCTCTTTAAAGCTCTCATTTTTCTGTCTTGATATCGATCGAAGTACCTGGTTCGAGGGTGATTAATTCTCCAGCACTAAGACTGTTCAATTCGTGTGGTTTGCGTTTAATTTTCCATTACTTATTTCAATTGCAATCTAATTTGCCGTTTTGTATCAAGTTAAATCATGTATCCTTAAAACCATTTACAAATTTAATTGTTATCCGATTTTGAGGATAAATACGTATTTATCATTTAACCATATATTATTATTTTAATGTTTACCCACTAAAGTTAATTTATGTATACTTGATAAGTATTTTCCATATATTTGGTGTAGTGTGGTGTACGTGGGAGTTGGGCGATGGAAGGCAGTGACTTTCGGTAGTTCCATCACGTACCGTTTTTGCCATGCAACCACACCTTAATCCGACTTTTGGCAATTTCCCTTATGAAACAGAAAATAAAGGGAGAAGAAAGGAAAATTCTGATCCCATTTTCCCCTTTTTTTTCTCCCTCCTGAAAAATGTTCACAATTTTAGAGTAATAATACTTCCTTTCTAATTCTCTACAGATTTGACGTAACAATGGGCGAAGGAACCTCATCTTCTTCAAAGAAATCCAGGAAACCTGATTGTAATACTTCCTTTCTTCTCTTTTCTTTTGTTTTAATTTTTCCCTTTTTCTGAATTTTCGATGTCGTCTTATGATGTTTTTTCTGAACCTCTGCATGTTTTGAAGGGTCGGATATTTGTTTATTTTTCTGAAAAAGAAAAAAAAAAAGCATGAATTTATTGTTTAATTCCACTAGAATTGATTCGATTTCGCATAATTTCTAGATTCATTTCTTATGTAACATTCTTTGTTGGTAGAAAACAAGAAAGGAAAAAAGTATTCTCCTCTGTATGTCTGGCCATTCAGAATTTTGATACCTTTGTTATTTCTCTTTGTTTCTTCTTTTATACAATTTTTTATAGTTTAAGCATATTCCAGAAGTAGCGAAAATTCAATATACTCCCTGAATAGCTGAGATGTAGCGATCTGATATATGGGGTATTTAGGTTGTTTTATTAGTTGTTCTTAATGAAGCCTGTTTGTTTAACTAACTTTGGAAATAATTGTAACGGCGGAATATTAGTGCACTGCAAAAATAATTAAGTACTCTGTTAGGGATTTAAGTTATGTATACTAATAGTACAAATAACTTTTAAATGACTTGATTGTATACAAAGTCGGTGCATAAAACCTAAACTCTATGGTTAAATCGGTGATATTAACATGCTTGGTTTATCTGGGGTTGGTAATTGCATTCCAGTCTCCAGACTAACTGCTTTATGCCTTTAAAGTATTTCTACTTGCACTATGAAGTTCCTAAAAGCTTAACTGTAAGTGTCGACGGGTATAAGGATTTCTATTTGCTCTTTAAGCTATTGATATTTCTGTTAGCGCTTTAATGTTAAAGTGGGGAGGCTAGTCATTGAGTTTTGGGGGCTTTCTAAAGATGCCTAAGATGAAAACAAGTCTTTCTAGATCTAGTTTTCACTATGAAAAAGGGGATTTTTCATCATTGGAAGATCTGCATTGGATGTGACTTTTCTGGGGTTCTTTTAGCAAGAAGTGGAAAGTAATATGTTAAGTTTGGCAGAATCAATAGTTTCTTAGTTTCTGAAATCACATCATTGTATTTCTAAATTTCCACTGTGTAGCTTGTTGAGAGTCAGGGGCGGAGGGGTGTATAAGTTACGGGTTCGGATGAACCCAGTAAGTTTTGCTTAACCCCTGCATTTGTATTTACTAATGTATAAATATCTGATTGCGAACCCAGTAACTATGCCGAGCTATGGGTTTGGCGACAAATTTAGAACCCATAAACTTCAAATTCTAGCTTCGTCTCTGCTGAGAGTGCAGTTTCTATTTAATTGTCGACAATGTTTAAAAGTGAAATGTGATCACCAGGAATTTGGTCTAACTTCAAAGTTTTCATAAGTAATATGTGAGGTGCATTTCGACTAACATTGTCTTATGTTCATTGCCTAATAGCCACATATCCCCAGAAGAACTAGTTCTTATTTTTGCATTATTTCGACTACTGGTCTTTCATCTTGTAGATGGTTAAATAATGGGATTATGATCTGGCTTAGATATTGAGAATATTTGTTATGTGTTATAAATAACTGGCTCATTGCCTCTCTGATGATACTTACAATCCTTCCGGAACCTACCAATGAGCCACTCATGGCTTTATACTCCTTTTGCAACTTGAGTGATGTGATGATATCTGTATATGCCAGCTTAATGACTTAGTTTTCAGTGTTTTATATATTTTCAGTTTAATTTACGGAAACTAACCAAATTTAGACGCATATTTTTGTGCTATAGATTCAAGGTTTACTCAGCAAGAGCTTCCTGCTTGCAAGCCAATTTTAACTCCACAATGGGTATGCATTCACAGAATGGTTAACATAACTTGTTCTCACAAGGTTCCCTTGAATCTGTGCTTTAAAAATGGCTTTTTGATTATACTTGTCATTTTCTGCATTCAGGTTGTCACAGCATTTATCTTCCTTGGCATCGTCTTCATTCCTATAGGACTTGCCTCATTGTCTGCATCAGAAAAAGTACTCGAATATCCATCTCTTTATGGTTTTCTCGCAGTCAAATGGTATTTGACATATAATAATATTTTTTTTTTTTATGCAGGTGGTAGAAATTATAGACCGTTATGATGAGGATTGCATCCCTACAAATTATTCAAAACCAGAACTTGCATATCATGATAGGGTTACACATATCCAAAATAATAAGTCAAATAAGACTTGCATCAGAAACTTGATAGTTAGTCCCCTCTTCAAAATATGTTGGTTTTTTCTCTGTTTCGAAATTCTGACATTACATTGTCCTCGTTTGCTGAATGTTTTTAGGTTCCTAAGAAAATGAAGCATCCTATCTATGTTTATTACCAGCTTGATAACTTTTATCAGAATCATCGCAGGTATGTCCAAGATTTTGTTCGATTAATTTAAAGCTCTTATATGTTATGGCTAATAAAGTGGATCCATGTTTTAAAATCAATTAAAACAGTTTGTGGCTGTACTTGAAATGAATAACTCTTCTGATGCAATTGAATTATGTTCTTTGCTATCAGTTTTGTTGTTATGTCGATCCGGATGACTATCCCCTTCGCCCCAACGCCCCTCCCCGCCACAAAAGAGAGAGAGAGAGAAAGAAAATGCACATAGTGAACTTTTTAGCTTATGATCAAGGTTTTCTGCTTCTGCAATGGGGTGAGCAATTGGATGTTAATAGCCATAGATATATTGGGATTTTCTTCTGAATCTAGGAAGATTAAACGGTATACTAGCCATTGGGCCAGACATCTGGTGCCATAATTAATTCATTAATGAGCATAAAACTTTCAATATTAATTACATTAAAGTAAAAGAAATACATAAACTTGAATATAACAATGACAATGAAATCAGAGATGGATATCAAATAAAGAAGTTAAAGATTACATCTTTTCATGCAATTGAGGAAGTTATGAAAAAGTAACTAAACGTAACTAACTGAAGGATTGAAACTTAAAAAACTGCTTAAGCAACTCTGGAATTTGAAGTACTTCTTCTCAGGAAGGAACAAGTTTTCTAATTTCCACTCCTTCATTAGCGTGAATATCTTAGCCAGGAGGCACGGGACAATTATTTTTGTGTACAAAATTTATTTTCTAATCTCACAAAATCAAATTAATGACGAGCCTAATTATGAAAGACATTGTGATAGTTAGTTACCTGGTTTTTTTCCTTCTTACTATTATTTTTTGCTTGAGGTTTTTATTACAGATAGACTCTTCGTATCGAAGTGGACATATATGAAGGAGTATCACTTCATTTTCCCAGTAAATGATATACGGTTAAGTGATATTGACAGTTTGATATGCTTTTCACAGATATGTAAAAAGCAGAAATGACGAGCAGTTGCGGGACCCAAAGTATAAGGATGATTTGAAAAAGACTTGTGCTCCTGAAGACATGAATGGAAATGAGCCTGTGATCCCTTGTGGACTTATTGCTTGGAGTTTGTTCAATGATACATATGGTTTTTCAATTAAGGGCATACCTTTACCAATCAATAGGAAGAACATTTCATGGCCAAGTGATAGAAAACATAAATTTGGGTCAAATGTTTACCCTAAGAATTTCCAGAAAGGAGGTTTAATTGGGGGTGGAAAACTTAATGAGAGCATACCTGTTAGTGAATACTCACTTTTCACCTTAGTGTTATTTTTCCTTTTTCTCATTTCATTTTTATCTTAATCATTTTGGGGATTTCACATGCAGTTGAGTGAACAAGAGGATCTTCAAATTTGGATGCGAACTGCAGCATTGCCATTATTCAGAAAGTTATACGGGAAGGTGGAGTATGATCTTGAAGCTAATGAGAAGATTAGTGTGGTAATACAAAACCATTATAACACATATACTTTTGGGGGTAAAAAGTCATTGGTCCTTTCAACCACAACATGGATTGGTGGAAGGAATAATTTCCTAGGCATTGCATATCTGGCGGTTGGTGGAATTTGCTTATTCGTGGCAATAACTTTCATACTTATGTATGTCATTAAACCAAGGTAAGAAAGTAGTAATATACTACTGCGTGTATTAAAAATGATTGACAAGAGTGGATTGCTCTAGTGGTGAGCATCCTCCACTTCCAACGAAGAAGTTGTGAGTTTCAGTCACCCCAAGAGCAAAGTGGGGAGTTCTTAGAGGGAAGGAGCCGAGGGTCTATCGGAAACAGCCTCTCTACCCCAGGGTAGGGGTAAGGTCTACGTACACATTGCCCTTTCCAGATCCCACTAGTGAGATTATAGTGGGTTGTTGCTGTTGTTTGTTGTATTAAAAATGATGTTCATGTGTATACTAATTAATTAATATATTGTTCTGTCCATGCAGGCCTTTCGGTGATCCAGCTTATCTGTCATGGAACTTGAATCCTACCGGGAACTGAGTGTCACGCTCTCTCCAAATTTGAGTTTAGCTGTTAACACTAACTATATATATCTGTGCTAATATTCCAAGTGTACTGCAGCATCTTGGGATTTAATTATTGTATTAATGCCATCGATCCTGTTAATTATCATTTATCAATTTATTCATGTGGTGGGACAATTTTAATACAGATGGCTAATAAGTTGGACACTGCGCTGAAACCATTATTTTATGCCATCACAACTACACTTGTTAACAACTTAATTACTATATTTTTACCATGTATGATTATTATAAATATTCACACTTTATAAATGACCTGATTAATTGTGTATATACTTTTACACAATTACAAAGAAGATGTACCTTATCCCATTATGCGTATCATTTTATTGCAGCTAAATATCAATTGATTGCAGTTGTATTCCTGTGGTAACTGTAATGAAGGTGGATATAGTATTGCAATGGAGAAATAGATGAGGAATATAATGCATCTCCTTAAACACAGAAATTAAACTAAAAGGATAACTTAGAATGGAGGGAGGGAGGTTCCAGATATTACTACAAACAATTAAGAACAGAAAGAATAAGTTCTAGTATATTAAAATAGAAAAAAGTAAAATTCGAAAAAATAAAGTCACATTTACTGAAAAATAAACCTAGTTGTGATTGCAATATTGCGCGCTAAGGTTTTGGATACATTAGCTTACAAGACATACATACGTCCTTTATAGCATTCTTTTTGGGTTTTATTGAAGCAAAGAATCTCAAATATGTTTGGGTACTGGAGACTCTTCTCCGTCATGAGGAAAGAACAGATTTTAGCTACTCATACAAAGTAATACATCTATCTTATGCTATTTTCATATAGAATTGTTAATTAATTAATATAAACCTTCTTCACTTACAACTATTTTTGCAGTTCCTAATTTAACCCAATCCTTTGAACTCTACTTAAAACTAGGGGTGTACGTATGTCGGGTTGGTTCGAATTTTTCAATTACCAAACCAAACTAATTGTGACGGGTTATTAAATCTAAAGACCAAACCAAACCAACAATACTCGGGTTTTTCAATCTCGATTTTTCTCGGATTTTTATTTTTTTTCTTGGATTTTTCGGGGGGTTTTTTCCTGGTAAAATCTTCATAGGAGAAAACATATAACTTGTGCTCCAAATATTTCTTTAATCCTAGTAAGATACAACTATATAAGGTGTTTTTCAAGAAAATAATACAAAATATGAGATGTGTCATGGCATTATCCTAAAATATTCAACAATAAAGATAATAAAATCGCATAAAATAAATATTGATAATTAATAAGCCATAATAAAAATAATATAACTAAAAAGTACTAAGTCATGCTAAAATAAATACAACTAATAAGGGAGTATTGATTACATGACTAAACACTAAAGAAAAAATAAAAATAGGTTATGCATTTTTATCTAAATAATTGCAAAACTAAAACTAGATATCCAATCATTCCTAATATTGAATTGCATGTCTTTTGTTAGCATTGGTATTGATTTGATTTTGGTTTGAGCTTTTGTTAGCATTATTTGAGTTACTTTACATTTATGGGCTATAAAACTTATTGGAGCATTCAAAAGTTCTAACTCCAATCTTGAAATAACACCTTAAAAGACAAAATTATGGAAAAGTTTAAGAAATATTTATAAATTACATTACAATTAGTATTTATATGTATTAAATATATCTAAAATTTGTATAATGTAATGACGGGTTGGTTTGGTTTTGGTTTGACTTTTTTAAATTAAAACCAAACCAAACCATTTATGGTCGGGTTTTTTTTCTCAACACCAAATCAAATCAAATCAAATCGAACCATAGTCGGTAGTCGGATTTTTTTTTCCGATTTGACTCGAATTATCGGTTTGGTACGGTTTGTCGGTTTCCTTTAAAGTAAAATGAAGACCAAAAGTGTTCCTATACTATTTCGTGGTTATTATAAATTTATCAAAATTAACGGTATTTTGGTTCAGAACAATGAAAAAAAGTTTAGAAAAATATAATTAACCTAAAAAGTCGCTTACTTAATCACTTAAACTAAAAATAATCGGCGGAATTATGATATTTATGAGATTTATCGTATAATAATGGGATAAAGTTCATTTTCCTTGTAATTGGCTTATATAATTAACAAAATTTATGAAAGCTCTTACAGAGTTACAACTCTGTGTGATTGGTTAAGTATAATTTTCAATTGAAGAAAAGACATCTAAATTAAAGTCCAGATGTGATACAAATCTGCCAGATGAGTAATAACTCTTGGACAAGGAAATGAACCAATAAACTTATAGTAATATAGAAGTGTCAATCACGAACCAGCAGGCGCAGAAGTTTTAGTAAGCGATATCGATATTTAAGGAAATGAATAAACTACGAGACAAATAGCAAAAAAGATGAGAAGTTTAGAATTTCGACAGCAAAGAAACTGGTTTAAAATTTGCAAAATCGTAAAAATAGATTATTTTTTAAAAAAAATTATGATTCCAGATTACTTTATAGGAGTATATGCTTAAATAACTTCCTTTATGCATTCAAATATTTTTTTAATCACTTATAGAACGTGGAAGTCAGGTTTAATTGATTAATTTTTATGATGAAATTGAGGGTTCAACTCTCTATTTTTTCAAAAGGACCATGCTAAAAAATTTGAAAACAAAAATTGTCTTCTGCCGAGTTCGATCCCCAAACATCAAGCAAAAAAATTCAACCTGACCACTACGCCCGACGCTACTTTATGCCATAAAAGTCATTAATATCTTATATTATAATTCTGTTGTTTTTGCATATATGTCTATATAGCAAAATTTTCCGATCAAACAGTATCGAATGACACCACTTGAAAAAACGTGCATCCGCCCTGCGAACAAGTATATATTAGTATGTGGATATCTTCTCTACGTACGTCTGGTTATAGACTATCCTTCTTCCAAACATCACGTTAAGAAAGGTTAGCCAGGTCAGTAATTATAAATACCCTAAATAACAATGCTAACATCACATTAAATTACAATCACCAAGACTTGAAGTCTAGTGATACTGGTGAGAGTCTCACACAATAGGTGTACATTTAATTGTCTGTCTTCTCCCTCCTCTAAAGTGATCCTCAATAAAATAAAATAAAAAATGGAAAAAATAAAGGCACATTTACGGAAATATAAACCAAGTTGTGATTGCAATATTGCGTGCTAAAGTTTTGGATACATTAGCTTAAAGACATACATGTTTTTCCTGTATAGTAGCATTCTTTTTGGGTTTTACTGAAGCAAAGAATCTCAAGTACGTTTGGGTACTAGAGACTCTTCTCTGTTATGAGGAAAGAACAGATCTTTAGCTACTCATACAAAATAATACATCTATTTTATGCTATTTTCATATAGAATTTTTAATTAATATAAGCCTTCTTTGTTTGCAAACATAGTCGGTGGATATATAATATATGTATAATCCATACATAATATGTGTATAACTGTGTATAAGCAGTATATAATCTATGTGTACCGGTTAGAAATTGTAAATATTGAATTTGCCGACTATTTCTGTTAAGAAAAGATCCCGCATAAACGATTAAATTCCTCAAAGTGAGTCTCACGCAACCAATTAATTAGCTCAGTGGTCCGGCATTGATCGTTAGGATTTTATCCCCTTTACATACATATTGTAATGAGAGATGGTACTGAAGTAATAATCTTGGAATCAGTTATAGAATATATAGTGTTATTTTCTGAACGATAGATCAAATAACTGCAGAAAAAACTCGTTAATGGAATAACGTAAGTGGAAAATCTAGTGGAAATGATCAAAACTAGCTCTTTAATTTTATCTAGTTAAGAATATTATATAAAAACTTTTAAAAAAGGAAATTATTTAAGTTAGTAACCATTTGATCGGCTAGATTAAAGAAGAATAATACAATTAATTAGCTCTTGATTTAGATCAATATTTTATCACATAGACTGAATCACTGCACGCGATCTCCAGACCAAAACATTATTGATAGGCTTAAACAAATAATATTAATTCGCTACAAATTAAGAATGATTAATTAGATATGGAAAAGAACAAATACAATCTATATCATCAAGAAGTTACATACAGGTGTCAATTTTCAGGGGTCTTTAGTTAATCTTTCCCCTAACAGCAATTAATTGTGGTTAGCATTAAAAGAAGTTAATCTTTAGAAAACAAAAGTACAAGTAAAAAATGGTACAAACTACAAAGGGAAGAAGGGACAATTAATGGTGGAAATAGCTAATTAATACAAGGGTGAAATTAGGTCATGCATCTCTTTAATTTCCACAACCACTGTGAAAATTAAATTTCCCCTTCTTTTCCTGCATTAGCAGATGGGATATTGACGTTGCACTTGAAATCCCATTTATAATCTTGATTTCTATTTTGTTGTTCCTCTCCATTATGAACGCCTAATTGGAGCCCATCTCTTCCTTTTAATAAGCATTCCCCAAAATACTCCAAAATGTATATAAAGGTGCAATCATATCAACCCAAGTGCTTACTTTTCCTTTCCAGGGCCTAGTTACTCTCATAACTCCAGATAGTGTTTTCCTTGAAAAAGCCATAAATGTATCGAGCAAAGTTGCATTTTCTTGTATTTTTCTTATCGGAAAGTCATGCTCTAGGTCTCTGTGTACTGTAACTGTTTTTGAAGGTACCACTTGATGATAGAATGTGTTGGCTGCTTGCCTTGTGGCAACAAACAATCCTAATTGCCTCACTTCAATTTTCTCATAAACTTCAAAACCATCTGTTTCTTCATCATCCAAGAAGCTGTCATTACCAAATCCTAATGAGAAATTGTTTGCTTCTATTTCATTCAAGCTGTTATGCACACCGCTGGCTTCTCCTGTAATCAGAGTAAATAATGGATCAATAAAAAGAAAGCAAAAAAAGAGTTTAACTTTTGCAAATTGACAATATTGTAGAAAATTAATATTAATAACTTGAAAAATACGATAAAAAATGTTAAAATATACTTATAGCTAGTGCATAGTGGATGTATAAATTCTTTATACTGTTAACGATAATAAGTTAAAAAGCAAAAAGAAAAAGAAGAAACAGTTGGATATATAATACAGTAATTTGTAATACCTTGGAGGTCTTGTTCTTCTTTATGGGGACCTGAAATATTTTCTATTGGAACCGTCTTGTAGTCCTCAAGAAAGGTCTGGCCAGTACAACAGAAACCAAATTAGTTATCTAATTAAGCATATTGGATTCCAAAAAAAAATAAAAAATAGTTGATTGCATGGATTAGTAGCATTAATTACCTTGTCATCAAAATCAGTGACTGCAATGGACCTAGCATTGTGATCTTCGTTTAGTTGTTCCATGAAATTGAAGGAATCACCCAAGTCATGAATTAATTGATTATTATGAGGAAGAAAAGAAAAGTCATCACAAGGAGGAGCATAACTATAATTTCCACCCCATGAATCTTGATTTGTAAGATGATGTGAAGCTTGGGCTACGGATAGGATTTCTTGTACAATATCCGTTTGATTTGTGGTTTGATACATGAGATGATCATTTGATTGAGATATGGTCCTGGAATCAACATAGCCCACTTGGGGAAAATCTTGCACCTCCAATGGAGGTAATGCAAACCTATGCTGCAACCTCGCACACTCTAATGCTACATCAACCTTAAGTTGAAAAAATAACAAATTAGAAACGAGAATTCGGAAAAGGATTTAACTTATATATTTATTTCATCTACCTGTTGGTATATATTACCTTAGAAGGGTGATATCCATTACTATTGGGATTAATGGAAGTGAAAGCTTCATCTGATAAGTATTGCATCCATTTATCATCATGAGTTGTAGCAGCAACATTCATTGGCATTCCATAGTTAGGTGAGGTGTGATCAATATCATCAAACCTTGATTCCTCAGTATACACATCAATGCTAGAGGATCGATCACTAGCATAATGATCTCCACTTTTTGGGGCATTCAAACTCTTCTTGAATACACGGCAAAGTGCATACGCATCCTGCAAATTTAATAGTATTACATTTGTATTAATTAGCATTAATTGATAATCTCATTTTAATTTGTACCTGCATGCCATTAGCAACTTCACATTCTCTTTCTTCTAAACGATACTCATGCATGACCCAACCGGTTCGACTTCCATGGGGTGCTCTCCCTCTATAATATACTAGGGTTTTCTTCATTCCAATAGCCCTCATCTGCGAATTTACTTTCCTGTCCTTTCCCGTTGCTTTCCAGTACCCAGCTTTCGTTGCACGGTTTGTCCGAGTTCCATTTGGGTATTTCCGATCACGAGGACTGAAGAAGTACCATTCCAGATCTTTACTGGGCAAAACAGACTTATCTGTAACATCAAATTAATCATGTTACTAGCTTCTTTTGACTTCACATTTAAGCTGCTTCAATAGGAAATCAAAAGTAGGGACCAACAAAATTCCTTTAAAGAATAAACAAACATACATGCAATATGAAATAAACTAACCGAACAGTACCTTTACAAGAAAAATACCTTTAAATTCTTCATTTTCTTATCTTTTTGTTTACCCTATTAGCTTCTGATCATTTCCTTTCTCGACTTTTAAAACATATGGCCTCACAACTACGGTCTTATAATTTCACACGACATCAAAGTAAAAAGAAAATAGTAGTTAGTACAATGTCTTTAATTGTTATACCTTTCTTGACAATCACTTTGGAATTATCTAGCTAGCTAGGTAATGTTTCTTTTTCTTTCTCCAGAGACACGTCACAATTACAAATTAGAAAAATATACAATATGCGTAATTTTCCTTTTGACACACATCTTCTATGACACTTGATCCAGTTAGAGATGATGATGATGTAACCATTTTTTCTTTTTTGCTTCTAAAGAGGACCAAAACAAAAAAAAAATGGAAATGGAGTTATATGTACCTGGTAGATCCCATGGCTCACATTTGTAGAGATCAACTTCCGGAATGACCTCAAGTTCAATTTTCCTACCATTGATCTTTCTTTTCAAATAGTAAGCAACAAGTTCTTCATCTGTTGGATGAAACCTGAAACCAGGGGGCAATGAAACAGGTGCCATATAATATAATCTTCTTTGGAACTTCTCTTGATATATAATTAATTTTCTACTTTTTATCTTCCTGATCAGAGAAGTTCCAAAGAAAAAGAAGAAGGAGGAGGAGGAAAGCTAGAGAAGATAGAAATTATATGGAGACAAGTTTGGCGGAAAAATGATGAGGAAGTTGTAGGATTGGGTGGGGGGATTTTGATAATAAGAAGACAAAAAGAGAAGGGAGTCCAAAAAGCAAATGAAAGTTGTCACCTCCTCTTGGCTACTTTTGCCTTTAAAATTGTTTTTTCACATCAAATGAAACCTTTAATAATCTTTCTTCTCAAGCTCAAGGCCAATAGCTCTAGCTAAGTTCAATTTTCCTCGATCTCTCTGACTCTTTCTCTGCATGCATATGGTAAATGGTTAAATGTATGCATACAAAGTTACAATATATAGAGTATTTTTCTGAGTCTAGCAAAATTCTATGCTTCCAAGTTGTCCTTTCTTGGAATCTGAGCTTCCTTGTACACGTGGTGACATCTGATTTGCCACGTTACCGGCCTAGTGGGCCATCTATATGTAATTTAAGGATATAATAAAAACAATATATACTCTTCTTTTTTGGTTTAGAGGAGAGGAAGAGGATCTTTGTCCCTCTACAACTACGTTAACGAGAAACTGTCTGTATGGAAACGAATTGGCGGCTTTTCTTAACTGTCAATCTGCCAAAAATGTTCCTTTCACATGCTCAATTCTACTTCTACCGACAATTTTAATTTCTTCTTTTATTTTTCTTCTTTTTGCCCTCTAACTATAGTTATTCTATCTTATCTATAATATTCAATTTTTAGTTTTAGACAAAATATATAAGTTAAATATTCTCAAACTATAATAAATGGAAATTTAAGTATCTTACAGGAAATTCTAAATATATTTTCAGTGGATGACTTAATTAGCATGTAATGTTAATTACTCAAACAACTAGGTAAGCTAAAACAATATTTCAAAATTTAAAAGCAGGTGTTATAATTCATAGAGTACTATGATATATGTTTTTTCCAGTACATCATTAATAAGTTAACATATTTCAAGACCTAATTAAAGTAGAGACAGATGAAACTTTTATCTGATTATAATGAACTAATAAGTATTCTTTTATTTTTAATCAGAAGTTTTGTGTTTGCGCGGGATCGGAATTATTTTTGTTAGAGTATGCTTTACTCATAATATAGAATTTCTTGGCGCTAGGATTTAATCAACTCTCAATGCAAGAAAAAAAACAAAAGTTAGAGTGGTGTGATGGGGCCTACTTTTGCCACGTGAAGATCCAACGTGGCAAAGTGGGGAGCAAGGATCAAATGTTGCAGCTTTTGTCGTTGTCATCCTTTCTCTTTCACAGTGATACCAATATTCTCTCGCTCTCTCTCTTGTGTGCTTTTCCTTTTGATCAATCTATCTTTTTGTGCTTTTCTCCTTTTTGGGTTTTAATGTTCTTTCTTCTCTAGTTTTATACCCAATATTTAAAGGCATGTTCTTCTTCCCTTCCTTACATATACAATAGAAACAAGGAGAATCCATCTAAGTGGTCCCCTGCAAGGTACGATTTTAGATTCACTAATTTGCAAATTAAGTACTTAACTTTTATTCCCTTCATATTTGAAATATATATAAATCTCTCTCTATATATATATGTGCAGAGTTTCTGGCAAATAAGTTTCACAAGCATGAAGAAAATTATTTGATAAGTCGCGATCAAGAGAATATAAATTTTTTTGACTATATCAGACCTCACTCTATCATGTCAAAAACAATGAATAATCATTAATGGAGATCTATACACTTTAACATTTGATATTAATTTGTCTTATTTTTTCCAGAAAGTTTGTCCTATTGGAAACGCTAAAGCATAAGAAGGATGTAAAAAAGAGTTCTAAGTTGTAATGAGAAAACATAGTTTGAACATGAATTCAAAGTAACGTGATGATAAATTTCCTAATAATAAATTAATACTACTTTAATTTCTCTGCCTAGCCATCAAACTTTTAAAAAATTGCCGAAAGGATATTATCTCCGCCAAATTCTTCTTTTTCTCGTCGGAATGCACACAACGGACGTCACAAGAATCTACAACCCCAAAGATGAAAGTAATTAAAGAAGTGTATTTAGACTAATTTAATCAAAAGGCATAAAAGCATTCACTTGTTTCCTTCTAATCATCAAAGCATTTTGTGTGTTATTCTTTAAGGTATTTGACTACTATATTAATGATCTCCATAACCGAGACGTAGTAGGGAATTTAAAAGATTAATATAATTATTATTTCTCCCCATGCATAAAGCTAGCTACTGTATCACTTTATCCAACTCATCTTAAAATTGGGTAATCATCATGTCTAAAGAATATCATTGACTGAATTGGGGTTTTGACACGTCATCAAGTGGATAAAGTGAGAGCCCCGCTGAAGTTTTATGCTAATGAATAGGATTTCTTCTTTAATTTTAATTATATGCAGCCATTCTTCTTATTAAGAAAAGAACATCAAAATTTGACTAGATTTTGCATTGGAATGTGTGCTAGATTTGCAAGAAAGTGTTACAGTTGAATATTATGGTTTGAATTTTGAACCCTTTCCAAATCAGGAAGCTAAACAGACAAGATCCTCTTTGAAAGAATTTTCTGTCGAAGTTAGAAACCTTTTCAACTGTCCTTAGTTGGTAAAATTCTCTTGTTCTCGACTAGTAGTGGAGGATGTGCTGAAAGATTTAACGAAAAACCTTTTAATCGATGTGACATTAGTCCACAAGATACATCACTTAGTGATGGAAGCACACTAAAATAGAAAGAAAAAAAAACTAACATGATTTGTAGATTCATAATTTTATTAGTAGTAAGTATGGCTGATTCAATGACCGCTAAAAGATTACGTGGGTTGAGATGGACAACAAAATAAGCTAAACAATGGGTCATAGCCTCACCCATCCCATTATTTGTTTTCTTATAATTTGGGGTGATTGAAAGAAATGGTCCCGTAAGGAGCTAGTCATAGCCGAATGTCTCCAAAATTGGCGGTATTTAAAAAAAGGGCCCTCGAACCCGCATATAGTTATTGTTCTTCAAGGTTTCTCTATCGGATTGGTAGAATATATGTTATATTTACTCTACCTATTTGTTAAGTTATTCATCAAAGTTTACATGGTTGGCATGATTTACTCTTCACGGATTTCTCTACCGGATTGGTAGAGTTTATGCTATTGTTACTCTACCTACGTATTAAATTGCTCATCAAAGTCTACCCAGTTGGCATGATTTTTCTCTTTAGATATTTCTCTACCGGGTTGGTAGAATTTATGTTATATTTACTCTACATATTTGTTAACTGGTTCATCGAAATCCACCCCATTGGCATAATTCTTTTGTGTTATTTTAACAAAGTGTTCTTCGAATGTGCAATTTTAATTTCGACCAAACCAACCCAAATCTGTTCTAAAATGATCTCAAATTTGAAATAAAGCTTCCAAATTACTAACACAAACAATCCACAATCACCAATTTAGTCAAATAACATCAATTCAAAAAGACCCACTTTGTCTACTTATCTGTTAAGTTGTTCATCGAAATTTACCGCATTGGCACAATTTTTGTGTTGCTTTAACGAAAGTATTATTCGAATGCGCAATTTTAATTTTGACCAAACCACCCCAAATCTACTCCACATGATCTCAAATTTGAAATAAAGCTTCCAAATACCAACACAAATAATTTAGTCAAATAACATAATGCGAGGCTAATATATTATATTTATATCTTCATTTACCATATGCTTTACTTGTAAATGTTAATAATTTGTGCTATGTTTGTGCTTAATTGAGTTATTTTTGTGAGTAAGATCACTTGGGAATGAAGTGGAATAAAAATTAGACAAAGAATCAAAGACAACAAAAGCACAAAAGGAACAACGACGCGAAGCCACAAGCATACCTCGCCCCAGAGGGCGCTAGGCGAGGTCAGGGGCGCCGTTGAGCTCGCGCCAGGCCTGGCCTCACGAAGCCCAGGGCGTGGATCCAATGGTGCAAGGCACCGAGCCTTGTCTGAGGCGCTTTGACTCCTAATTAGCTTAGGACTTAATATTTCGGCCCTAATTATACCCTAGCATATAAATACCTCTTAAACATAATTTTTTTAGATGTGAGACAAGTTTAGAACAGGAAAACAGACGGTTGTAACAATTGCAAGCAACGGATTTACACAATTCTTCTTCCAATTCTTCCTGGTTTGTAGTTTAATGCTTTCAATTATTCATATGATTGTTAGCATGATTATGAGTAACTAAAGTTTTATCTAGAGTTTGATTGAACTTTTTGGAGGATGAACTCCCGTTATATTTCAATATATTATGCCTTAAATTTCTCTTTGTGTTCAACTACGTGCTTAATTTAATTAATTGAATGGCTATCAATTAGTGGTTTCTATTCATTGTGCGTTACTTGAGAAAGAGGGTATATTTAGGAAGTTGTTGTACAACGTTACTCCTAAAGTATACGAGAGATCAATACAGGGGCTTTAAAGGTGAGATTAGAGATAACGAAACTTTGACGTGATCACAATAAACGGCAAGACACTACTAGAAATTCGCTAAAAACCGACCAAAAATACCGACCAACGTTGGTCGGTTATGGCAAATTACCGACCAAAACGCGACCATTACGGTGTGGACGGTGTTTTGATGGTCGGAATGGCTTACCGACCAAAGTTGATCGAAAATTACCGACCAACTTTGTTCGGTATATTAAAACGACCATCTTACAAGTTTAATTACTTACCGACCAACTTTGGTCGGAAATATATTTTATTAATTTAATTTTACAGACCAAAGTTAGTCGGTTTAACTAAATTATATTTTTTTTATTAATTATTAAAATAAAAAAAAAACCGACCAACTTTGGTCGGTAATTGAAAATATATATTTTTTAAAACTAATTAAAATTAAACATTACCGACCAACTATGGTCGGTAATCTCAACAATGCAAGCAAAATACCGACCAAAGTTGGACGGTAGTCTTGAATTCTGGGAATTCAATATTCATTAATCGACCAACTTTGGTCGGTATTTTGGAATAATTTATTTTTTTATTAAAAATCGACCAACGTTGGTCGGTTTTTCTGGGAGTAATTTTGGCATAAAATGCCTGTTTTGGCAGCTAAACCACCTGCCAGCATACCAATACAACAACACAACAACAACAACAACACAACAACAATAACAACACAATAACAACAACACAACAACAACAATAACAACAACACAACAACAATAACAACAACAATACAACAACAACAACAACAACAACAACAACAACAACAACAACAACAACAACA